GAGCGCCCCCCGACTGCAGCCCCGCAGCCCTGAGACGGCGGGTCTGTAACCCACCCCCCGATGGGAGCCCCGAGCCCCAGGAACTGCAGCCCCACGAGCTCAGGACGTGGGTCCCATAACCCCGGGACGGTGGCCCCACATCCCCCAGGACAGTGGCCCTATGTGCCCGGGACAGTGGCCCCATATCCCCCAGGATAGTGGCCCCATATTCCCCGGGACAGCGGCCCTATGAGCCTGGGACAGTGACCCCACATCCCCCAGGACAGTGGCCCTATGAGCCTGGGACAGTGACCCCACATCCCCCAGGACAGTGGCCCTATGAGCCTGGGACAGTGACCCCACATCCCCCAGGACAGTGGCCCTATGAGCCTGGGACAGTGACCCCACATCCCCCAGGACAGTGGCCCTATGAGCCTGGGACAGTGACCCCACATCCCCCAGGACAGTGGCCCTATGAGCCTGGGACAGTGACCCCACATCCCCCAGGACAGTGGCCCTATGAGCCTGGGACAGTGACCCCACATCCCCCAGGACAGTGGCCCTATGAGCCTGGGACAGTGACCCCACATCCCCCAGGACAGTGGCCCTATGAGCCTGGGACAGTGGCCCCACATCCCCTGGGACAGTGGCCCCACAACCCCCAGGACAGTGGCCCTGAGACCCCAGGAGAGCAGCCCCAAATCCCCCACAGCAGCACCCCCCAGTTCCCTGGGGACAGCAGCCCCGTTCATCCCGCCAGAGCAGCCCCATGTCCCCGCAGGCAGCCAGGGTGGCCTGGGAGGAGGAGGAGGGTTGAGGCACGTCCATCTTCTTCCCCTTCTCCCTGCCTGCACCAGCACCTAACCAACCTCATCCCAACAAAGGCGGCAGGATGGCGCGGGTCGGAGCCAGGCTCTGGCAGGGTTCCCGGCTCCCTGATGCGGCAGTGTGCCCAGGGACCAGCCCGACACGTTCCCATCTCCACTATGGCAGCTGGAGAGGATGAGGAGGGTCTTACCGCCTTCCAGGCTTTCGTGCGAAAAGCTGGGGATGCTTTTCGTGCCCACAGCTGGGGATGCGAAACGGGGGCAGAAAATGGGATATGGGGCTCATCCCTGCACGTGGCATCCCGCAGCCTGGTCCCTCTGAGAGACAAATGTGTAAAACCCCAACGGTTAGAGGTCAGCCCACCAAGTGGGGGATGTTCATGGGTTCTCAGCCCCATCAGCATAACCAGCGTTGCTGGTACCCAGACCTCGCGGCTTCCTCAGCTCCAAGGCTGGGTGAAAGCGAAGGGAAACATCAGCCCTACCCCATCCCGGTGGTCCCACAGTTCCCCCCCTCAAGCTGCAAAAGCAACGCGTGCTCCCGGTCCTTGGCTCGCCAGGCTTAGCCCTGGTTGGAGATGCCCTCACGCACCCATGTCCCAACCGCTCTGGATGTCACTTCAACATCAAACTGAGCCCGCGACCGGTTCTGAGCCACCGTTGGGTTCCAGCAGTAGCTCAGGGACAACGTGTTGCTCAGGTGTGTGTTGTGAAGTGTTGTGAGCGGGGCTGGGGGCCATCACTGCTGGTTCCTCTGCTGACACCTGGATTTACTGCCCTGTTCAAGCTCCTGCCCCTGACATGCTTCGCCACCTGCTTATGCAGGGCCTCCCCATGAAAATTTAACCCCAAACTCCTCCATCCCCATGCACAAGCCTCTTCCAGTGCACCCCAAAGCACTCGGTGTCCAGCAGCAGAGAGGTGAAGGTGGTTCCTACAGTCGAGCAAGCGCCGGTGAGGCCGCGCGCTTTCATCGCAGGAGGTGTGTTGGAGGGGAGGAAACGCGCACCGTCCTCCCGGGAGTGTCGGCTGTGCATTTCCGCGCTTTCTAGGTTGGGGCTTTTAGCAGCAGCAGCAGCAGCAGCTGTTCGCGTGCGGTACAGTGGATTTGTGTCTCAAGTTCTCGCGCAGACAGCGCCAAAGCAACTATTCCTTTTTTTAAGGCTGCGTAACGTGCAACTAAACTAGAGAGCCCGATCCCTGCCAGGTGCTGCGGGAAGCGGGGGGGGGTGGGGGAACCCTAACATTTTAATTAAAAAAAAAACAACCCAATTTGCTTATTTACAGTGTTGTCCGACAAGGTGATTTTTTGGAGACCTTTCCCACAGAGAATACCCCCGGCACTGCCAAACCCCGGTGAGGGCCCCCCCCCCGGCCCGCCACAACTTCACCCCCAACACGCGGCTGCGCGGGAATAACTCCCCAAAATAACGTGGCCTACCATGCCAAAACGACTCGGAGCAAGCCTGCCCTGACAAAAACCAGGAATATTTGCTTCCTGTAATAATTAAGCAAAAAAAACCCCAGCATAACCGCGTGGAGCTTTCTCGATGTTTAGGGGTTGGGGTTGTTTTTGGTTTGTTTTTTTTTAACTTTCCACAGACTTGGGGCGTGCGGAGCCGGGGCAAAAACGACGGCAGCAGGTCCACCGCCTCGCTGCCAGACCGATGGTTCCCGTGGTTCATTCTGTAGGCAAGTTTATCGTGTTGCCGTCAGGCATCCTGCCTGCACGCGGTGGCAGCATCCCTACGTCCCAACATCTCGTGGCTCCTAAGTCCCTTTGATGTCCCCCATAAATGTCCCACCCAGGCGGCCTCTCCCCTCCCAAAGCACTGCGGCGAAGCAGTGTGTGCTTCGGCCCACGGAACCCTTGATGGTCCAACCAACTGCACAAGGAGGAGATGTTTCCTGCCCCCAGGAGCTTACAAGGGTGGACAAAAGGTGGGACAAGTGAAGCAGTCACTGCTATCAGCTCGCGCGGGTGAGCCAGTCCGCCAGCAAATTGTGATGTCTCTGCCATGGTTTTATCTGAGGATTTTTCCTTTGGGTGGTTCTCTGCTTCCATGGGGAGACGCTCGGCTTTAACTGTGGGATCTGAGAGCACATCAGCTGAAACAGTGCAGGACCAAGGTGATGCTCTGGTTTGGACCATACTTATCCACGGTTTACAGCAATGTATTTCTACACCAACGCTTTTCACCCTGAGGCATCTGCCATCACACAGCAGCTACCTCTGCAGTCTGGCCAAGGTCTGCATCGGAGGCCGTGTCCTTGACATACCACACGTCTGCAGAGATGCTCTGGTTAGAAGAGCAGAGGTGACGCTGTGAGTACTCAGCCTGCACCCACCAACCCCTCCCACATGGGTTCCTGGTCAGGGTGGGCGAGCTGGTGGTGAAGCCATATCCACATTGATGAAAAGCGCCCAAGTGAGACCAAAAAGTTACTCGTATGCCCAGGACTGCCCGGTCTCCTGCAGCCATTTGAACGTGCTCTTCACTCACAGTTTTGTAACCTCACATGCAGCAAGAATGGGACAACCCAGCAGCGATGCCCACCTAAAGCCAAGTGTGATGCCCCAAGCACATGGCAGGGCTCAGAAAACAGCTTGCTGGGGAGACCTTCAGGTCACTGCTGGCTGGAAAGCAGCATCTTCATCTCCAGAGCAACTTCCACATCTCCTCCACGCTTCTTCACACGTGGGGATGGGCAGCATGTCCTCAGCTGCCCTGCTACAATGTCCCGTTCAAGCAGCTCCAACCACCCTGTCCTGCCTGCACGTGATGGGAACCACAGGGTCTCACCAAGGAACGGCAGCAAAAGCTGCGAGGTGCTCACAACCATCAAGCAGGTCCTGGGGAGAGGGTTCCTTAAGTCCTTGAGATAGAAACTGATTGTCCTCAGCTGAGAAATCAAGGTGGGACATGAAACAACAACCACCTGTAGATAATCTAGTGTTTGTACACACCGTTTCTCAGCTGAACATTTTCCAAGGGCTCTTTCTCGTCCTCAAACAAGCAGGTCACCGGCGCAGGAGACGGGATACCCCAGCGCACGGTCCTGCTGCCTGGACGTTGGTTACAGGTAGTAACGGAGGGACGTCTCTCTCTGGCTGGGCTCCTGCGTCCCATATCTGCTGCCCATTCATTTTGTGATCCCGGGACCAGTTCATCCACCTGTAGAGAGGCAATGAGTTTCATTTCAGGGATGGTGGGGCTTGTCGTTTGGGGTACTTTGGGTCCCTGCTACCCCCAAGCCCATCGCAGGCTGTGCCGCGCTGTGGATGAGGTGCTGGGTTGTTTTGCTGTTCCTCACCATTTATCTGGGACAACAACTGAGCCTTGGCGCTTTTCCCAGGGCAGAGAGGACGTTCCCGTGCCACTTCCAACGTGTTTGAGGTAGGATGAAGGGAGGATTTCCTCCGCTCAGCGCTGGCGCCAACTTCTCCTCCTCCTGTCCTTGCCCGGGAGGCCCCACATCTCCCCGGACCACGCCAGGTAGCGCTGCTCGGCTGCTCTCCTCCATCCTGCCCCGGAGATGCCCCTCTACACCCCTCCGTCCATCCCAGCTGCTCTTGTCTCATGCCCTTCATCTTTCTGGTTAATTATTCTTGGACTGGGATTTGCAACACCAGCTGGAAAGAGGACACTAGCCATGGGATGCGGAGAACCCCCGATTTCCAAGGGAGCAGTGCGGACCAGCCGACCCCACTGTGCCACTGGGCTGGCTGACATGGATGTGGTGAGTGATGTAAGCTGGGTGCTGGTGCCACCGAAGACGCTTTACAGGACCTCAGATGAGTTCTCAGGGAGCTTTCTGGCCACAGGCAGGAGGAGGCTTTAGGGTTGAGACTCTGGTTTTGGTATGGATCAGCATCCAAACATCTGGAGATTTGTTACAGCATTACACAGTGATTGTGGGAGGGGACCTCTGGAGTCTCCCATCCAGCAGCCCACAGGACTGTAACCAGCACTGGACCAGGTTGGTCCTAACTTGAAAACCCCCAGGGATGGAGAAACCCTACCTTTCCAGGTGTCCATCCCAGGGAAGAAGTCTTCCTGCACCATCCTGCAGGGAAGACGATTTCCCTAACACCCAACCTGACCCTCCCAAGCTGCCATCTGTGGTTGTTGCCCCATGTGATATCATCTGCCACTATCAAAGAAAGGGATGGCTCCACCATCGTTGTAACTACCCCTCTGGGAGCTGGAAGCTGCTAACAGACCCCTTTCAACCTCCTTTTGGCCCAACTAACCCAACCTAGCTCCTTGGTGACCCTTCACTGGTCCCTTCTGTGGTTGCCCCACCTCCCAGTCCCCATCTCTGCCCAAAGCAGAGCCTACCCAGCCATTCCTCCTGGCCCCACAACCTCCTTTGGCCCATCTGTCCCCAAACAGCGGGCATGGCACTTGTCCAAGGCCATGCTGAAGAGCAGCTCCCAACGTCCTCCATGCATTGGATCAAATGCCACGTGGCTACACCAGTCCTAAGCACCGCAAAGGTTCAGGTGGCAGAGGGCTGCTCCTGCCCAGACAAACCATTCAGGTTCCTGCTGATCCCAGTTCTTCTGCTGTATTTAACCATGATAGCTGCAGGACACGTCGCTTCTCTTGGGAGAAGAGATGCCCTGGGGCATGGGCACACCAAGTGCAGTTAGAGGCAAGGTCATCGTAAGAGGCGTGAGGACTCTGGAGCAACAGGAGGATGCTCGAAAGCAGGAGGACAGCGGGTCACCCCGTGTAATGGCCAGAACAAACCCTTGGGGTGTCCTCTCCATGCCCCAGCCCCTTCCCCTCCAAAACCCACGGCATACCCAGGATTGATTTAGTAACACCGCTAAAGGGCAGAGGATGAAAGTCGTGGCAGAAAAACTGGCACTGGGGGACTGCTGATATTTGGGTACCGAATGATGGGATGCAAATAGCCCCATCCGATTTCGGGTGGCCCCGCGGGTGGTGGGCAGAGATGAGGAGCAGGGAAACGGCAGGGCTCATCCAACATCACATGCCTGGAGTAGCTGCTTTGAGGATGGCGGTGAGCGCTTTCAAACTTTAATTCCTTTCCGTACGTCACCGCTCGTCTTCTCCAGCTCTGCCTTCCCCCAGGAGGACGAGCTGAAGCTAACCAAGAAAGACAAGGGCTCGGAGGTGCGCGCAAATGTTCGCTCAGACGCGTCGGATCGCTGCAAAGCTGCTTTTATGGGCATTTCGGAGCGGCTGCTGGCAGCGCCGCCGGAGCTGAGCTCTGAGGACGCTCGCCCGCGCCCCGTGACGTGAACCCACCGAGTGGGCTTCAGACCAAAAAGGGGCGAGGAAAGCTTGTGTTTACAAAATTTGAATGAAAAAAAAAAAAAAAAGCCGCCAAACAGAAAAGTCCGTTTGGAGCCAGGAGCGGGAACAATAAACCCAAACGCTTTCCTCTGATGGGTTGCAGATGCAGCGTGCCGGCAATCTCCCGCTGGAAAAAGCACTGCTGCACAGAGGGCTTTTGCCGTTTGTTCACCTAGGAAATGCAGACAGTGCTTTAGTTTGCCCCGAAATTCTTCAGTTTTTTGCTTTGTAGATGAAATACGGAGATAAAAAGGGCCACGGCTCTTTCTTGCTTGCGCAGTGCTTAAACGACATACTGTTTTCTCTTTAGTTTCATAATTAATGTGTCGTTTGCGCTGTCCGGGCATATTAACTATGGGGGAACAAACCAATGGGAATCTTTTATATGGGCATTTGTTAGAGGCCCCAGAGGTAGCCCAACCCCATGTGTGGGGTGGTCGCAAGCGCTTGTCCTGCATTGAACTGCTGCCCAAGGGCCACGGATAGGTGGCCCTTAACAGAGGCAGAAACCTGGCTTTGCCGAGCGTGGGGTGAGGGCTGTCTCAGCAACAGGTCCATGTGATGTGCCCAGACCTTGCAGGCTCATTTGAGCACCAGGGTTCTCCCTCCATGTCCATCCCCTGTAGCTCCTTCCACCATGAATGATGGTGGAAGAGAGAGGAGAGCAGCTGAAGCCACCACGGTGCTCTTGGGGGCCAAAATTCTCCCCATATTGCATACTCATCACCGATGATGAGTTTGATGCCTCATCCACAGAGGAGCTGGGAGCCGCCTGGCTTGCTGAGGTCCCACACAGGCCATAATGGAGGAACTTCTGCAGTTGGATCTGCCCCTCCTCATCTCAAGCACTGCAGGAGCTGCAGTGCTTCCCCCAGCCCCGCTATCGCTGCCTTCGTCAGCGAGCACAGCTCTGCTTCGGCATCTGGCACTCGGCGCCGACAAAGTGGCACCGACGGTCTCCAGATCCATCCCGGCGGCAGGGAAAAGGCACAGCGCCCGGTGGCAAACCCTCGCCGGGCCAGATCCTGCCCTCTGTGCTTGTTTGTTGGTTTTGGCACCCGTGTGGGTGGCCGGAGCAGCAGGGATGAGATGTGACTTGACCCTGGGCATTGAGAGAGGATCAGTGTCACCGGTGTCCTGAACCCTCATGTGTTGTCCTACCCCAGGACCTGCCCCAGGCACCTCTGGGCATCAGCAAACCCAGGTTGCCCAAGCCAGGATCCCTCTCTGCCCTCAGCCAGGTGCTACCAAGTGGAGGGCCCATGACCCATCCTACTCTGCAGACCCACTTCTGACCATCAACACGGCCTCTCCAGACCAGATCTCTTTGTTCTCTGTTAAATTATCTTTATACCTAATTAACAGACATTATGGAGGGCAGAACTGCTGCCAAACTTCACCATTAAGCATCTAGACAGTCAAGGAGGGCCACCTTTGTAATGGAGGAGGTGGGCAGCTCTGAGCCCTGCCCCATGATACGTTCCTGGTCATCACAGAAAGCATTACCCAAACTCTCCCAAGAGGAAAGGCGTCCCATTGTCACGAAGGTTATTAGTGTCCAGCCCTTCCACACACTGGAGACCTTGTCAAATAAAACAAAAGGACTTGTTGTGGAGGAATCCTTGGCAACACGACCAACATACGCATGACCTTCTGAATTGGAAAACAGATGGCCAAAAACCCAAGCGAGCAATCCCGCCGCACGCGGCATGGCTCAGCTCCCCTGCCGCCGTGGCTGCTGGCGACCAGTCGTGATGCACCGCGGTTCCCAAAGCCTGACGGAGCAAACCAGTGAGCGAGAGGGGACATGCGGGACGAGCACCACTTCAGTCTGGATGTGGCACTTTCTCTGTGGCACCCACAAACCTGGAAAAGCCCTTTATCAGCTCATTTATCACGTCCTTCCCCAGGTCCCTCCCTGCTCCCATGGGCTCCCCTTGGCCAGCCCCCTGCACCTCCACCCCAGGGGTACGTGTCTATGGGTGGCTTCAAGGGTTGGGAAGAAGTCTCCTTGCAGCCTACTTCCTCCTTCCCGCTGTCCTCCAGGCCCACATAAAGCCCTGCTGTGCTGAGCACCACAGAGACACCTCCATACTCAGACCCTGTGTGATCGCGGGGGAGATCCCAGCCCACCAAGGGTGGCTTGGAGGAGACCTCCTGCTGACTCCAGCCTCCCACCTCCCCTGGTCAAGGAGGACCCCTGCCCTCCTCCTGGCAATGACACTTCCCACCCAAGGGTGCAACCTGCTCTGTAAAAACCGCCACACCGTGGCGGCCGGCACTTCGAAGGCTGCTCCTCGGTCCTGTCAATGACGAGAGGGATTATCATGTCAGGGGAGGAAGAGGGCTAAATGAAGCGGCGCCGTGCAAGAGGCCGCTCCATCCATCCTGCTTGTCTTTGGGTGGAGAAGGGAACGCAGAGGGCAGCGCTAGCGGCCAGGCCAGACCCAGAAGTGCAGCTCCGCAGTCACTCCTGTCCTCCTGGAGCTGGGGGTACAAAAGCCAACGCGCCGCCGCAGCACCCTTCCTGGTGCGGTCCCCACGCAGGGGATGCTCAGCCGGGCAAAGCCAAGGAGCCTGCATCACCCGCAGGCTTTTCGAGGGCTCCTTGGCTTGGCCAGAGCCCGGGGGTCCCAGCGGGCACAGGGAATGGTCCGTCCCCATCTCCAGGGCACCCCAAGTCTCACCCCTTGGAGTTTTGAGCCTTGGCAGCAAACCAAAGTGATATATCTTCCCATTTCTCAGTCCCAGAAACGTCAGACTTGTTTAAACTGGACTGTTTAGATGAATTCGTGTATGTTGGTATGTTGGACACCCAGCATGAAAGACTTCAGCTCACGATTAAAGTTTGGCAAAGCCCTAAAACCACAGAAAACAAAGAGTTTTATCATGGGAAGCACTGGTCCCTGGGACGAGCTATAATTACTTCTGTTCTGCTTCGACCACAGCGCATAAACACCGAGGACGGGATGCAGCAAGGGCCGTTTTTCCAGAACCGGCTGCCGCCGATCGCTTCGGCGGACGGGATGAGAGGGGACATGCTGCAGAGCAAAGCGCCCGTGTCCCCGCGACCGACACACTGGGCTCACACCTGCAGTCTAGGCATTTCCCCCTCAAAATCCCAAATTCCTGCGAAACACCCGTTGCACCAGCAACCCAGGAAAAACACGTTTTCAGGAGGGGAACACAGCCTGGAAAATTCCAGCCTCGGTGGGGAACGACAAGCAAGGGGCTGTGATGGAAACTGTTTTGCAACCTTAACTATTTTCCCCCAAATGCCGGCAGCCCAGGCAGTGCCTCGCTCGCCCCGTAATCTCATTAGTCTCCTTGGGAACGCCTGCCCCACCAGAGCCCCTCTTGCCCTCTTATCGCTCCCTGCGTACGCCCGCACGCCCCTTCCAGGCACCGAAAAGAGCTCCCCGTGAAGCTCAGGGGGTCTGGTGAGCCCCCCGTGCGCGCGCCCTGCCAGGCAGGTCCCGGGAATGCCTGATTTATAGTCTTATGCCTCGTTGTGTTTACGCCAGGCGAGTTATTTAAAACAAGGAGAGCAAGAGGAGCCCGGGTTTTGTTTAAAAGTCCGGCGAGGAGATTTGCCTTAAATAGTCAAGAGCTGAGATTGGAGGGGAGGCCGCCCAGCAGCCTGGACCTCCAGGGTGGGAGTGGAGCTGGCACCCGCGGGGGGAGCTGGCTGGCTGGAGGAGAGGTGGGCAGGAGTCTCCCGATGAACCCCGGGGGACTTAAACCACCCTGTGGGATCGCTCGCAGCCCCGGCCGTGCATGGCCTGCGGCACCGGAGACACAGTTCACCTCCACGACACGCAACACATGAAACAGCAGCCTCAGGAGAAACGACGCTGCTCCTCGCGAGCCAGCGTTCACTCTGAACCCTAATGATGGCAATCCAATAAGCGTCTCCACAGCCAGAATTAGTGCAGCCACCCCAAAGGAAGCCACCCGCAGCCTGGCACAGCCCCAGCTATGACCACTCCAAGCAGCTCCCCCCCTCCAGTCCTCGAGGCTTCCTCCTCAGGGGCAAGGCTAAACGTGAAGCCATGCTGATGGAAGAGCATCCCACGGGGGGACGACTTGAGCTGGGTTTGCTTGGTGCTGAGCACAGATCTGATTGCTCTCTATAAATACATCCGGGGTCAACAGCAGGGACGGGGAAGAGCTATTTAAACTCAAGGGGGGACGCTGGCAAAAACAAAAGGCTATATATAAACTTTCCATGAGCAACGCCAGGCTGGAGGGAAGGTTTTAACTCCTGGAGCAGGGAGGTGGAGGAAGAGTCCCCCGAGAAGCGGGGCGAGGCACTGGGATGGGGCCAGACACATTTCCCCGTGCCCCCAGGGTGGGCAACTCCAGTGTCCCTCCGTCCCCTGTCCCCAAATCTAGCAAGATCAGGGGGGGGGGGGGGGGCTGCCACCAGCCTTGGCACAGCAGCAAGAGCTCCCAACCCCGCTGCTGGCAGGACAGCAAGGGGCAAGAAGCTCTTCAGATATTCTTCCACTTTCTTGACTTATTTGGTCAAAATTGCTGATGAATTAATCAGAATAATGAGTAACTTGGGTGCCTCGAAGCACTCGGCAGCAACGGTCGACCGCTGAAAGGCAAAGCTGTCATGCAAAGCCTGGCACCCTCTGCTAACCCCTGCCTCGCTGCAGGCGCCTGCGCCCCCCATAATCCCCGCTCCTCCTGCCCATCCCTGCACCCCTGCGAGGTCCCGCACCCGCCGCCAGCGCACGCAGCGTCTGCTAATCCTTCGTCCTTGCAATTTTTGCCCACCCCTGCACACCTCGGTGATCCCTGCACCTCCTGCACGTCCTGCTAGTCCCCGCGCCCGACCTCTCCGCTAAGCGCTGCACCCCAAGGAGCGCTGGCACCTGCACCCCACCACCCCACTGCACCCAAACCCACCCCCGGCAGCACCCAGTGGGCCAGG